AGTGTATATGCCCCCCGCCACCCCCCCAGTGATCAATGTCTTGTCGCTGAACACCCAGTTGTCTAGAAGTATTTCTCTTTTTTAACGAAAGAAAGATTACTGAAAAAGTGGTTCGTTTAACGGTAGAGAAAAGAAAAATGTGCGAACGGAAATGTCGTCGAAGTCCCGAATGACTCGACGAGGAAATAAATAAATGAGAGATACACCGATCGCTTCCGTGTAATTAAAAATTCGCAACGATTATTCTAACCAAGTTCTTTCGATTCTTTCTTTTCATGTGCGATTCCCCTAATCTATCGAACCTGCCTCCATGAAAAATCCATGAAAAAATCCAATGAAACAATGTACACAATCGCCTGCTACTACAGGACTAGTTGTGACCTACAGTAAGTCTTCTCCAACACCTCAAGTTTTTTTTTTCTAGGAACGTTTTTCAGTTTTGCGTAGTAGTTAACTTACTTTTTGCACCCCCCTCTGTACTTACATGCATCTCTTCTCGTACGTGCTCCAAATTTTTTACGCACTGACACGCACGATCTTTCCCGTCGATCCCCGTCAAACGAATACGTACACATCATGTATACATGTGCTCATCTGCGTACGCTTGTTCCGCGAGCTTTCACGCGTGCACTCGAAAATCGTGCGTGTACGTGCCTTCGTGCTTGCGTCGTACAATGTACTTTGCGTATACGTAATGCATGCACCGTCGATCGTTACCATAGTTTATCGCTGCCATCGCATTTGTCCATTTTATTTCGTTTCGATTCGCACGCGAAACTACGGGAGGACGAGTCGAACGCGTTTCCTTTTCAAGCTAGTTTCACGTCTTTTTTTTTTCGACTCTCGACTCGTCGCCTTTTTTCATTCATCGAACACCCACCGCTTCTTTTTTGTTTGCTGTTTGTCAATTAGTGTGTTGGTTGTTGTGTTGTTCACAGTGCACTGCAAAATGGACAGTTCACCGATTGTGACAACCCACACCAACAACAAGAGCAAGTCCTCGCGTAAGTCCTTAATCAGTCCCAATAAAACAACGGGTGAAAAACGAACAGAAACACACACTCTCTCTTTCTCTCTCTCGCGAAAATCGATACGATCCTTCGACCGACAAAAGTGCGACACGTTTACACTCGAACACGAAACACGTTGCCCATTCTCTACTTTTCTTTTCCTATTTTATTCTTCTCTTCTCCGTTCTCTTAGATGTTACGTACTTAAGTAGATGAGAAGCACGAAAAAACAAAGCATGACGAGATTCCTTTTACTCTTTCGAAAAGTTACCGTTCTGCATCGTGTTCCTTGTCTCTCTTGCATCGCACTCTCTCTCTCTCTCTCTCTCTCTCTCTCTTTTTCTGTTTTATTTTCAGCCGGTCGCCGAGATCTGTTTTTTCGATTCGTATCTTTCTACGTTTCGTGAACGACGCGCGAAATGAGAAATAGCGGATGTTTCGGTGGAACTCGAATTAATTTGCGCTTCGAAACGAGCGAGTCGCAGATGGATTCGCTGATGTAAATTAACGGGCGACGAAAGTAATTCGATTCAACCGGAGCATCCTCCGTGCTACAGTACGGACTAACGTCATTCAATCTGATGCATCGTTAATTGAGATCATTCGACGTTATCAGGCATGCGAGACATTCATTTCTCTACGCTGGCATGAAAATTAGTGACCTCTCCGTTTTAGATATTATTATCTCGATCGTAGTAGAAATTGTTTGCATTCTTTTTAACGACAGAGCTGTTTTACTTACGAAGATTGATGAATTTTGTTAAGAGTTCAACAGTTCGGAAATGAGGCTGGCAAGCTTGTGTCCTTAGATTTTCGAACGTTTCGAACGTCTCGTTTAAAGAGGAAGGGTGTGTGAGTGTTTTCACGGGATGATACGGTTGTCAAGAACGGAGCGAATGATTCTCATGACCGGCACAGACCTGGAAACATTTCGTTCGCCGGCGCATTTCGATCGAACCGTACGGACGATGATCGATGTCCTTCTTAATTATTGGCGAACTGAGTGTGTCCGGGTACTGGCCGTTACACGTGATCTCGCGCTCCGAGAATTCCGTAAAAATTGCAACACACCGGCCCTCGTGTTAATATAATGAACTCTGTTTTGGTGACGTTGCAGTGACCACGCCGCTGTTCACGCCTGCAGTGGGGGTCGCCGCAGCGAGTGCCGGCGGCGCGGGCGGAGGCGGCGCGAGGAGCTACGTCGATCCTCACACTTACGAGGACCCGAATCAGGCCGTAAGAGAGTTCGCCAGAGAGATCGACGCTGGGTACATCACGATAGAGGCCATCATAGGTACCTACATAGGTTTCCGTCGTACCGATCCGTTTTTCCCTTCGTCACGCGTACACAGATCTCCGATTAAAATTGCGCTTCGTTTCGCGTCGACGTGTCACGCCTAATTGGAGTGGTTTCGCGTTCAGGTGGTGGCGAATTCGGCGACGTGTGTCGTGGGAAATTGAAGCTGCCGCCGGATGGCCGGACGGAGATCGACGTAGCGATCAAGACGTTGAAACCGGGCAGCGCGGACAAAGCACGCAACGACTTCCTGACGGAGGCCTCGATCATGGGCCAGTTTGAGCACCCGAACGTGATATTCCTGCAGGGTGTCGTGACTAAGAGCAACCCGGTGATGATCATCACCGAGTTCATGGAGAACGGCAGCCTGGACACTTTCCTCCGGGCGAACGACGGCAAGTTTCAGGTGTTGCAGCTCGTCGGCATGCTGCGAGGCATCGCGAGCGGTATGCAGTACCTGGCCGAGATGAACTACGTGCACCGGGACCTAGCGGCGAGGAACGTGCTCGTGAACGCGGCCCTCGTCTGCAAGATCGCCGATTTCGGGCTGAGCAGGGAGATCGAGAGCGCAACCGAAGGAGCGTACACCACCAGGGTAAGTTCCCGATGCTGATCGTTTCTAGTTCCACCGGCGCGCGTTATAACAACTCGTAGGGTATCTCGTTGGTCTTATAAAAAACAGCTGTGTTCGACCACGTGAAACGATCTTGTTCACCGTCCCTCATCTTCGTTCGATGAGCTGTAACTGTTTTTTGTAAGTTGACGAACCAGTAGCGTTTGTAATGCGCGTCGAGTCGGTCATTATCCATGACGAGACGCGGTCTCGTCGAACGAATCGAGAGACTTTCAAAAATCGAATCTTGAAAGACTGTTTACTCCGGCAAAAAGGGTGGAAAGATACCGGTGCGATGGACGGCTCCGGAAGCGATAGCGTTCCGAAAGTTCACCAGCGCTTCCGACGTTTGGAGCATGGGCATCGTGTGTTGGGAGGTGATGTCGTACGGTGAGAGACCGTATTGGAACTGGTCTAATCAGGATGTGATAAAGTCGATCGAGAAAGGGTACAGGCTTCCAGCGCCGATGGACTGCCCGGAGGCGATCTATCAACTGATGCTCGACTGCTGGCAGAAGGAACGCACCCATCGCCCGACCTTCGCCAATCTCACCCAGACCTTGGACAAGCTCATACGAAGCCCGGACACGCTCAGGAAAATCGCCCAGAACAGGTAATGTCCCCGACCGCACCATCGGCTTCGATTTACTCTGTGTTGCATTCTGTCCGCGGTACGCGTTGCCATCAATTCATATTTGTATTGGCGCGGCGTCGATCATGAAACGATCGCTCGACGAGAGTTGTCGATATTTCTACGTTTATCGTTTCGCGTACGCGTTAACGATTACGTGGCCAATACAAATAAACGTTGATCCGTCCAACCGAGAAGTTACCGAGCAAACGACCTTACGCAGCGACGACTGCGGAACCTGACGATGCTGCCTTTGTCGCGCGAGCGATTCGGTGGCGACCATCGAAGATCGAGTCCGCGATACATCGGCGATGCTCGCGACCACTGAATCGCTCGATCATCTGTGTCATCTCTTTAACACGAATCATGCCGCATGCCACGCGAATCACACTTCGTGTCCATAAATTAATTTCTCTCGACAGCCAAAGGTTTTTTCCGTTCTATCGCTGATGCGCTCACACGCTCTGCGCTCTTTTTCACGTATATTACGCTGTTTAGACTGGGCTTTCATGTTGTCGCTCTCGTAATTATAAGGATACATACATGATATTCTCGTAACGACGAACGCATTGGCCGTCCACGAATAGTCACGATGTGTGTGTGCCTACCCGACAGAGAGATTCGTGTGCACGTATGTTTAAACTCGAGGCGTCGTTAATAAGTATGTACCTCGACCTGATTGGCATTACTGGAAGCGGGCATATAGCGTACTGGACTGATATATTATTCGCACCTGTCTTTAGTTCATCGCTTCCGACGCATTCTTTCAAAGCTACTTATTGGGTTCTTTTTTTCATTTTTTTTTTATTCATATATTTCCCGTAGCCGAACGTCGTCAAAATTGATCTGTGCAATCGCCTCCGCTTCCTCGTTCCCTTTGAAATACAACGACGCTGAATTGAAGAAAAAAAACAAACGCGAACCGTAAAGTTTCTGTTGGATTTTACTTGTTTACGAGCACATATTTTCGATCGATCTCGGCTAGTAAAGTGTCTCGCTTTTCGAAAAAAAAGAAGCGTAACGTCCGACCCGCAACCGATATCACGTACAACAAGTGGCTCTGCGCACGTACGTTACATAATAATTCTGCTCTTAATTAAAACTGCTTTTACACTCCTTTGGACACGCGTGCGCAAAAAGAATAGAAATAAAAGAAGAGATATACCGCTGCCTGACCCCCTCCGGTTCTGTTCTGTCGCGTCACTTGTTGGGAGGAAAATTAATTTATGGACGGAAAGTCTCAGCGCGAAGTAATTATATTCGCGGGAATAAATTTTTTTCATTCGCGTTTCAACGAGTACTACCTAAGCGAAATAAGTGCGCATCGTACTGCGGTGGCTTTTTCAGAGAGCTTTTATCGCTTTAGCGCTTATCGTTTCTGTAATCCTCGAGCCTTTAAAACGCCCTTTCGTCCTCCTCTTCTTGCCTCCTTTCACTTATTTCCACCACCGACGGTACACGCAAAAAAAGACGAACAAAGGCGAGATCAAACGATACTCGAGTAGTCGCCGTCTCGTTCGAACTTTATCGCCGGTCGATCGCCGGTTTAATAAAGAATACGAGCAAGATGTCTGTGTCACGAGGGAGGATACCAATGGAAATAAAGAAACGGTATTTTCCCTCGATCCTCCAGGAAAACCGACCGCCCATTCGGGTCGCCGTTGCGGGACCTATCGATTATCGTTTATTTCACGTTGCGTTGCGTCTCCTGTCCTTCTCGTCCTCGAACTTCAACGACGATCCATCGATCTCGTCCAACGATCGGAGTCCGTTCGGCGTTGTTCGATATCCGGATCGTTTCCCAAGGCGAATTTACACGTGATTCTCACGGGCACCGTGTGTAAATTCGTGTCCCACCTCTCCCGAACCCAAAGAGAAGACGAGTTGATCTCCTGCCGAGACGACGTCCCTTTTTTTCTGGGCTAATTCTTATGTGGTTTTGGTTTTGTGGTGTCTTTGGTACCCGACTACGAACTGCAACCCCGAACGCAACTGCGACAACTACCATCTGTACGCACCAACCGAACTCCACCAACAACAACTCAACAACCGAACTACGACAACAGCGTGAGGCCACCTGCACACAATCCGTACTATGTCACAAGCCACGCGGCGCAGGCCGCGGCTGCTGCTGCAGCCGCTGCGATTCCAGCCGCGGCGACGGGCGGCGGCCCGTTCGTAGACGTAGTCGGCCATCAAGCCCAGTCGACGATTGCCGTTCCAGTAATGCCACCAGGAGCCGGCCGTAGCTTACACTATCACACACACGCAGCGACACACGCATTGCCACAACAACCACCGCTTACTTACCCCAACTGGGTGCCGTTCACCCACTTCGGTTAAAACCGTTCTTTCACTCTTCGTCCGTACTTCGAGACAGTCGCTTCCAATTCGATCGTTTTACGCATTTCTCATAGATCCTCGACGATCGTGAACGAGGCCGAAGTCGACGTCCGGTGGTCGGCGCAGAAACGTAGGGACAAATTTCGAAATTGTTAGTCAGTAGAGGTCGACGTCGAACGTCGCACGAGAGAACGTCGAGTCGGAACATCCTTTGCTCTCTTTCTCTTTCGCTCTCGTCCGGAAGTGTAACTCTGTCAACGCGGCCGATCAACAGGTTCGCGCAGGGATTGTCAATTTTTTTCGTTCAACGAGGAGACGAACGTGGTTGAACGGAGTACGCGAACGAGAGAGAGGGTAGAGGTGACAAAATTTTGCGAGGGACACTCGTTCTCCTGTAAACGGAATAGATACGCGGTAGGTCGTTTTTTGCGCGCTTCTCTAGAGAACCGTTCTCGTTAAATAAAACGTTTTTAGATGGTAAATCGTATCTCTTCGTTGGGAGCGTAATAGTTAGGTGTGCGTAATGAAAAACTAGTAGCGAATTAGTCGTTCGTAGCGGAAAAGGTTTTCACGGTTTCCAGTTTATCGATTCATTATCCGTACGCGAGGAGAGGAGATCTTATACGATTATTAGAAGAGCCGGGGAGGGGGGGCTGTTTTTTTATCGCGGCTACGTATATTCGAAGCGAGACGCGGTATATAGATGTTTTATCGATCTTAGCTGCCACGTGGAAGTCGTATAGAGAATATTTATGGTTCTAGTTAGAGGGATTTAAATGGAAAATT